GAAATCAATGATTCGGAAGGTGCACCCTGAAAATGGAAGGTCTCCTGGTGTAAGTTACAAGTATTAAGGAGTCTGAACAAGAGCACAAATTCGGAGATTCCCCAACCAAGTCAAGCACAGAACGCGATTGTCGGCCTCTGCTGCCGGGCCCAGAAGAGGCCTGAGAAGCAGCCAAACTCTTCCCTCCAATGCAAAACAGCCCCCGCCTAAGGTTACCCGTGCAACGTGGACACTTCATGTCATGCTCGGCTTCTCAGGAAACGCCGTAGGAAAACGGCTAGGAATAAGGTGTCGTGCAGGGTGGCCAAATGTTCCTTTCGGAGCCTTTAAAGTTTCAGCTTTCCATGGATCCGGGCAGTTTAAGTTGTAGGATTTAGGTTTTAGGGTTTAGACTGCGCATGAAACCAAGCTGAAGAGATCTTCTCCTCATTTTGCTGTAGGAAGAAATAGGCAACCCTAAACTATCCTAAACCCCCACACCCCGGGCTCCCGGGGTGTGTGAGATTCCACTGATCTTGACAGGCTATGTTCCAAACCCTTGCCTTGTTTCTGTTGGCCTCCTGGGATGTTTCCTGTATGTTGGAGGGATTCACCCCACCAAAAGTCACCACATCTTGAATTACGTATATAATCCTATATAAGCCCATATAGTTGTTTCCATTTTCTTTTCCATTATCCCAATATAACCCACTACAAGCCAACCCCACAGAAGGTCTGGGCCTCGACTCCTTCGGCGCCATCTGCTGGCGGAAGGTCTTCCTTTGACGTGTCTTGCCCAGCTGGCGCTTCTTCTGCAGCTGCAGCCCGTGGTGCAGCTGCAGCTGCCGGTGCAGCTGCAGCCGCCGTCGCAGCAGTCGAGTCTTGTCCTGCAGAAGAATGCTCCCTACATGAACCATAGTCTAAACTCCTAGTATCCCTCTTAATGACCCCTAGTAGTGCCCTATAATATTCCCTATATGAATTTTTGGGAGGAGTTTAGACTATAGCTCACATGGTGGAAGGCTTACTTACCAACTCAGACTCCAGTGGCCCAGTCCTCCATCCTCAGACATCGCCTTGCAGGGCATTGCAGATATGGGCAATTGAGTTATACTCTAAACTCCTTGAAGGGGGTTCTATAGGGGATTAGAATATGTGGTAGGTTCTAATCCTTTGCACCTAGCCAGTACCAAGCTGCAGACTAATAACACATGACATGAAGCTTGCGCAAAGCAACTACACTGCAGCTTGAACTGGTAGTAGCTGGGGAAGATGTCAAGGGTGTCAAAGGCTAAAACATATTTGAGTAAACACGAAGAACTTTCCCAAAATAGGGGGATCCCAATATAGACCCAAAGTACTATAGTCCTTATGATGGGGATCCCCTTAAAGGTGCCCCTAATTTTGGGAAACCCCTGTATTCAACCTCATGGCATCCTGCTCATTGCAATCTGGGAACGCTCGAATGGTACGAGACCATGGAGGTCATCTGGTCGGAGAATCCAACTTCAGTATCCTCGCGACAGCCAGAAGTAGCAGGTGGGCATTCATGGAATTGTGCTGCCTTTTAAAGGCTTCCCCCACTGAGCAGCATTTCTAAGTTGTGCTGCTTCTAGAAAGCGTTGTGCTGCTTCTAGAAAGCTTCCCCCACTGAGCAACACAGCTTGGATGCTTACTGACACCTGCCACCTCCACTTTCCTGAGCAACTCACTCAAGGAACGCTCTCCCTTTAGGAGTCCGGCTATGTGGCGTCATAGATCAGAATTCCATGTTGCCTATGCGTGTTTTTATGGTCTACACAGGTGCCCCAAGGACCATGAAATGTGACGTGATGCAAAACCTAAAGTGAAACCTGACCTCATGTAATCTAAAGCTCCTAGCAACGTCTTCTCAAGGTTACTCTGCTAGTACAGGCTGCGCAGGGCATTTCCATAAATCGGGGCCGCCAAAATAAACCCCAGTGTACCATATTGCCTAATTACAGACTTCCAAAAAGGGGACCCCGGTTTACGAAAGTCCCACTATGCTCTGCTGATGCATCAGGGCGGAGTTGAAGAACCTGCTACAAACTGGTCGCATGGCCTTCCTGCTCTCTGATCTGGAATGATGCGGACAGGGATGCAGGGAATTTGGGTTTAGGGTGGAGAGGGGTCAAGCTGTCTTTTGGGCATTTGAGACAGGGACAAGGATTCAGGCTCACTGCAAAGCAGGCATGTCATCATGCGCCTTCACATCCACGAAACGAGACTATTAGCAAAGAATACAAGAAGAAGCAAAGAGTATTCCTCCAAATGATCCCCTACAAAATCCAAATAGGGACCGCTATCATCCTCCTCTAATCTCAATGTATATATCACATGGGTCCCCAATTCCCACCAATTTGGAGAAACCGCAGGGCATGCAGGTTTCAGGCAATTCCATCCTTTTTCATGGTCACTGCCACAGCATTGACGTTTGCACAATCGCTGCCTTGCCTGTGCCCCCTAAGCCAACTAGCCGTGCCGATGTAAGAGCCTAATTGATTGGAACAGGGTTTGGGTGTATATAGAACACCATTTCCAGTATAGCTACATAGAGATTATGAGGGAACACTATTTCGGTAGCTAGTCCGACTTCTACATTCCCTGACAGATATCACACTAATCAACTCCACCTGCATTGATCTCTCTACGTTAGCCCGAGCCTTTGCAAGTACACCATTCAAATTTACAGGTTCTTGCGGGTCCTCCCTGTTCTCCTCGAACTGCTGGAAACCCTCTAACCCTACTCTATTTTCAGAGGGCACCCAGCAGGAGCCCCACCTTTGCTGCCTTCCCGGCCGGGTGGGAGGCGAGCTGGCAAACACACAAGTTGGCAACTACCGGGTTGAAGGACGCGGGCCCGTGCATCTTGGACCTCAATACCCAGTTTGAGAGTTCCTACTATTGCTAGTCTTGCTAGCATTATGATTGTTAATTAGCATTATTACTATTAGTACTGGTATTACTACTACTACTACTACTACTACTACTACTACTACGATTATTGTTGTTATTACCATTATTACTAACCATCAGGCTTCCCTCCCAGCGCCATAGGGACCGCTTGATGACCGGGTAAGCAACCTACACATGTTGTGGATGTTGCATTCTTTTTTGCAGTTTAGAAGGGTTACGCCGATGCCCCCGCAATCGCTTGAACTTGTATTATTTCCGCTGAAATTACTAGTATTACTAGTATTACTATTCTCACTATTACTACTATTGTTCCTTTAATTACTATGAGTACCATTTTTACTGTTGATTTAAAGTCTAGGACTTAGGGGTTAGAGTTTAGGGTCCTGCCGGAGATAAACTGATTGATGAATGCTGCTCATAAGGTTATAGTGTTGCGCGCCGCCTGGAAGCAGAGGCCCCTATCTTGGTGGTGTAGGTTGGTGCATAAATTAATGCAAAACTACCTTATAATCCCAGTCTCCATGGCATTTCCCTCTTCTTTTTCATTTGATTCTCCATTATGTGAATATAGTACATTATACCAAGTGCTCAGTTCAGGACCTGCTGGTGGCCCCCAGCACCAAAGCCATTAATCACATCAAAGGCTCGCATCCCGCTAACCAGCTCGTCTTGTGACGACCTATGCAGCTTTGCGCTGATTTCCACTCTTGGGAAACGGAGCATCTGGCATCAAGCTTCCTTCTTAACGTCGACAGGTTCCGTGTTCATACAAAGACCCCATATAACCCTGTTTAATTAAACAGGAATTTGAAATACAGCCCATATAGTGACAATATCAAGGACTCCGATGATAACAACCAAAGCAACTTGGGCCAGTCCACTCCCCCAATAATAACCCACGCATATCACTAAGGGAGATTGAGGTCTTTCACTAGGGAGCATCCCCCAAACCCTAAACTCAAAAGCCAGAGCCCCGGACTCTTGCATCCGGAAGGATGGGGGGGAAACGGAGAGCACAAAGACGACCTCGCAGCCTGTACATCGCAAGGTCGACCATGGCGTAATTTCAAGATGCGGGTTAGCACGGAATGCTGAGATATCTTCTAGTAGCAGAATAGGTAGAAGTAGTAGGGATTGTAATAGCAGCGGTAGTGGTAGTGGTCGTGCTAGTGGTAGTGGTAGTAGGAGTAGCAGAAGGATAGTGGAGCAGCCCTACCTGAGTGACTATTACTTATACACTAATTATTACTACTCTATAATTGCTATTGAGACTAAGTATTACTATTAGACTGCTCATCCGGCAGTTACTGCTCGGGTGATAGCGATCAATAATGGCGATCGCTTCCCCCTCTAAAAAAATAGTAGTTTCCATTGTCTTTTCAATTATCCCTATATAACCCCACACATTCCCTAATTTCCAACTCATTTTCCATTTTCCTCTCCATTTGATTCTCTGTTATCGTATTTTCCATTTTCTTTTCCATCATCCCTATATAACCCTATAGTTCATCCCTATGATCCCTAAACCCTAAACAGTAGCTTCCATGTTTTTTTCCATTATCCCTAACACCCCTATAAACCCCTTTGAAGGGCAGGGTTGCATTTCTACCCCACCCCTGAGATGGGTTTTCATTCGATTAGTCACTCCTGCAGAGCAGTTGGAGAAGAATTGGGTTTGGGGTTTAGGGTTTGGGGTTTAGGGTTTGGGGTTTAGGGTTTAGGGTTTAGGGTTTGGGTTTGGGGTTTAGGGTTTGGGGTTTGGGGTTTGGGGTTGAGGGGATAAAGGGCCTCTAATGGATGTCGGCCTTAACGCGGCGAAACCAACGTCCCAGGAGAAAGGTTTCCGAACAAGGAAAGCGGCCAGGATTGTTACTCCTCCTACGTCTACAGGCAATGGACATATCATCATAATCATAATGTCATACCTCCTTCATTCTCTCTAACCAGCAGCCGGAAATTGGTGCAGCCTAATGGGCCACACAGCAAGCGGATGCTGGATAGGTCCAAGGTGAGAATGAAGCGCAGTACCAAATTCCCGCAGTTTTGGTTGCGCTCGCTTGCACTTATTACAATCTGGGCCTGGCTCAGATCAGATCTGCAAGGCGAATGACCTGATTAGATTGGGACTTCTATTGGGATTATTGGGATAATGGATAATGGAAAATACAATCGAAACTACTATTTAGGGTTTAGGAGTTTAGGGTTTAGGATGTAGGGTTCAAGGTTTAGGGTACCCAACAATGTAGCACAGGATATCTGGGTTGCCTTTGGTTAACTAGGGCTTATTTAGGGTACTGAAGTAACGAAGGCTAATTAAGGGGTAACTTTTCGGGGGTAATGCGTATGCTTACAGGGAATATAATCCCTGTATAATCCCTACATAATGTATTCCCTTATTCCCTACTAGCCCTAAACCTTAAACACTAAACTAAACCATAAACCCTGTACATATTTCTATGTATGTCTTCCCTTCTTCCCTACCTCCCAGTAAGTCGTAAACGTAAAGGGTAGGGAACTAATGGATCCAGAAGCAGGCCAAGCCGCGGTATTCAGTGGGTGTTGTTCCATCTGCGACCTGGAGGCCGGCAAACTTACCGGGTTTAGGGTTTGGGGTCTAGGGAGTTATAAAGGGAGAAGGGGGAATATACATGTATATAGGGTTTCGGGTGTGGGGTTAGCAGGGAAGAAGGGAATTAATCATATTGGGATTGTATAGGGGCTCTATTCCCTTTTGTCCCTACTAGGAGCAGCATCTTCTACTACTTCATCGCACTCCCTGGACTGTCAAGGAAGGTCGGTCTGAGAAAGGGGGGCTCCCTTATCCACTAAAAAGGTTTCTAACCTTGCCTTGCAGCCGAAGGTCTAAACCCCCCCCCCTTGTTGGGGTTATATAGGGATAATGGAAAAGAAAATGGAAACTATAGGGATTATAGGGGTTACATAGGGGGTATATTGGGGTTATATAGGGATAATCGAAAAGAAAATGGAAACTGTAGGGATTATAGGGGTTATGTAAACCCTACGCCCCAAACAAACCCAAAATCCCACGATCTAAACTCCCCGAAGCCGAGAACCGATGCCCTTGCGTGTTTTTCTTCTGAGCTCGCAGCAGCAACAACGCCTGCCACAGCTTGGCATACAGGATCTCTAAACTGTCGAAATCAACTTAGGGTTTAGGGTTTTGGGGTAATGTTGGGTTTATATAGGGATAATGGAAAAGAAAATGGAAACTATAGGGATTATAGGCGTTACATAGGGGGTATATTGGGGTTATAATATAGGGATAATGGAAAAGAAAATGGAAACTGATATAGTGGGTCTTGAAGTCACATATACTATGTACTTGTAACTGCCTATTGGTGTGGTCAGTCTCAGGAGAGGTCGGGGAGGGGCTTAGGGG